GAGATTCTTTAGGGAAAATTTTGGCGTTACCATGTCCTGTGACTAAAGTCAATGGGAAACTGCAGCAACCCAATCCAGACAGGACAACATGTGGCCCAGACCCTTCAGGGATGAAAGTATGGGTCACTCCTCTGGGGAAAGAGCCAAGATCTGCAGAGGTGCTTGCTGATGGTGGAGGAAATACAGAATGGGTAGTAGAGGAAGGTAGTTCCAAATACCAACTTAGGCCACGTGACCAGTTGCAGAAATGTGGATTGTAATTGACATGAATGTTTTTGTCTTATTTGGTTAAGAATGTGCTTCTGCGTATATACACATATGTTAAGCAGATATTTGTGTTATTCTCTTTTGAATATGTAATTGAGATGTGTTAAGCAATTAAGTGTTGTAAACCTATATGATCATGTTAGATTAAGAGCTACTAAAGGACTAAGCATTCCTCAAAGACCTTACCACCTACTCTAATGCATTGATCATTGTATGGTAGAATAGTCATATCATGTTAGGTGAAATTATGACATCACCAGCGCTTTCATTTAAAAATTAAGCATGACATAGAGAGATGCTATTAGGTGTCAAGTTGACAAGGGGTGGACTTATGATGACTCATCTGGGATTAACTGAAGTGAGAGAGCTCTTCTTGATTGGATCATCTGAAGCTGGAAGACACACCCTAAATCAGTGTTACCCTCTGATGGCAGCCTGTATAAAAGGCCATGGCAGAGGAGCATGCCAGGCTTCTTGCTGCTTGCCTTCTCTCACTGATGAGTTCATCTTGCTGCTGTAGACTGAAGACCAGCTGATCTTTTGGAATTTGTCAGACCTTCAGTGCCAGATTGGGACTACTGAGACATCCAGCCTCATAGACTGAGTGACTACAGATTCTCAGCCTCTCCAGTGTGGTGCAGCCATCATTGGACTACTCCAACTCTATCCTGTGAGCTAAGCTGACAAGTCCCTATACATATGTATTCATTCTACTGGTTCTGTTTCTTTGGAGAACCCTGACTAATACAACAATGTTATGTTTTGGTGCTGGAGTTCAAATCCAGAGTACATGTAAGGTAAATGTTCCACCACTGATCCACACCCCCAACTAAGAAAGTGCTTTGATACATGATTTCAACATATTCATCTCTATGCCAAGTTCTAAAACACAATTTAAAATATTTTTCTATGGAGAAATGACTGACATAGACAAAAATACTGAGCACCATCCAGTAATCAGATAGTAGCCCATCCTGACAGAATTTTCTTCAGTTATTTTATTACTGGCAGGGTGGAGCTTAGGCAGCTAAGGTAGATGAGAATATTATTTTCATTTGGAAAAATGGTACTAACTCTCAGGGATAATAGGAAATTTAAATAAAAATGGAATTCAAATAACTTGTATTTCCATACATTTTTCAGGTATTGGTAGAAATGGAGATAAACAAAATGAAGAATTTGGAAAATTTTGGAGATTTGGGGTAAGAGGCCCTGGAATGCAGTGAGCAGAGCTTGGTGGGCAATGCTAGTGGGAGCTCGGAAGACCAGAATGCTGACTGAAACGTGCGCAGTAAAGACTGGGCCAATGAGGTTTACAATGGAAGCAAGGACTCTATTGGACATGAGACTAATGGCCATGTGTGTTACATCCTAGCAAAGACTTTGTCTCCATTTTGTCCATGTCCTAAAACTCCTGTGAGAAGCTGAGTTTAAAGGTGACAGACTAGTTAATATATTTCAAGACAGACTAGCACTCACACTGTGGCATTTACTGTTTGCTCTGCTCTGTTTCAGACTTCTTTTGGCTCCACCCCTTCTTTCTGTGTCCCCATTATTCCCTTTGGGAATAGGACTGTTAACTCTGTATATTAGAATGTGCTTTTGTATATTAGAAGTATGTAATTTCTTTTTTGATTTCACAGGTGCTCACAGCAAACAGATCACCTTGAGTCTCAGTAGACACTTTGCATTTAGTCTTTGAACAATATTGTAGACTTTTGAACTGGATTAAATGCATTTTTTATTATGAGATGGCCATATATTTTTGGAGGGGATCTGTGGCAGAATGGTAGGATTTGAATCTGAAATGTCCCTCACAGGCACATGGTGGGAACACTTGGTCCCCAGCTGGAGGTATTACTTTGGGGGGCTGTGGAAACTTTGGGAGTTGGCACCTTGGTGAGAGAGTTAGGTCACTCTTCTCTGTTGCCTGGTTGGCCATGCAATAAATAGCTCTCTTTGCCCACACATTCCTGCTGTTTGGATGTTTTCCAAACCATACCAGGCCAAACAATTATAAACCAAACCCTCTAAAACCATAAGCCCAAATAAACCTTCCTTCCTTAAAAAAAATGGTCTGTAATAACTAGATAGCTACATACAAAAAGATGAATTTAGACTCTTACCTCACGGCATACATAAAAATTAACTAAAATAAGAATTAATTCAAGAATTAATTAATTCTTGACTTACATGCAAGAATTATAACATAGCTTTTGGAAGAAACATAGAAATTTTAAGACCTTGGGTTAGAAAATTCTAATTTTTGCCTGGATTAAACAGTGTGTATGTGTGGGAAGCATGCGTATTCAATACAGGTAGCCAAAGACAAAACCACCTTCAGCAAAACTGGAAAAATATCTCACTGATGACTAAAATTTGAATAACAAATGATATAAAAATGTTGAAAGAAAATATGCAAGGAATAAGCAGCAAGCCAGCCAGAACAGAACATTTCAAGTTTGCAGGTAGACCTCAGGACATAGCTATGTAGGTAGTAAACCAATCCCTTCCTCAAACACTGCACCATGTGCATATCCACATTTTAGGCTAAGAGACCTTGATGTCCAGCAGTCCGAGATTGCAAATTGGGATTAAGGAGAACACAATCACCTATAGAAAGGTGAACTGTAATCTTTCAGAAAGATGTTGCATATCCTTGTGTTTGCCACAATACCATAACACTACCATGAAATTCTTACAACCTATGACATTCATCATGTGTCAGAGGAAATCACTGTTGATGCATCTATACACAGGAATTTGAAAATCAATATGAAAGTCTTAAATACACAGCCTACATAAAAACATTTTCATCTAGTAAACTATCTGAACTGCACCTAAAATTGCTGACAACTAATTTCATGATCAAATTATCTCTTACAAACCCACACAGGAATATTGAAATAACATTTGGCTACTTGTGTTTACTCTGAGTCAGTTGGTGACCTTTTCTTCCTCTTTCCCTTGCCTATGTCTCTCCATAGCGCTGGGGGAGCCTTTGCTAAAGCCTGAATCTTTGCAAAAGCCTGATTTCCTCTTTCAGAACAAAAATTGTTTTGAGAATATATTTCCTGGAATGATTAAGATCTTTTAATATCTTTTCATTATTTTCAGGTACAATTTGTTACTTACGCATCTACCTTTCCTTTTAGAAAAGCTACCATGCTTTACTGCTTTTTAAAAAATCCCCTCTATGAGTGGTTTTAAATCATTGGAGTTGTTAGTCAAGTACTGGAACCCTGCCTTATAGCAGCTGATAAAGTTCTTACAACATAATATGCCCTTGGTATATTTTTATGGGAATGAAGAAAATACCAAATTTTAGCACTACAGTTGTAAAGTCATTTCATTACTGCCAAGGTCTGAGGAGGTACACAATATACCATAAAATCCATCAGGCTGCTAAAATAATATTCTAGGACAGTCATTGATGTAATGAAGAATGATTTTTTTCAATGCCAAAAGCCAAATGCCAACTTTTTTTCTTTCTTGAACAGCTGGTGACATGATGTTCTTTCATTCATTCTAGAGAGAAATGGTCTCTCATCTTAGGTCATAGGCTCTATCTAAATATCCTGGACAGTTTAAAAGATAGACACTTTTATTCAGGATCAGGCAGATTTTTCTGAATATGGGCACTCAGCAAGAAGTGTTCTAACAAAATTTGCCTCATTATCCTTCTAGGGCTGTGGACATATTCTAATTACTTCCATCTTGAAAAAAAGTAGAAGCAGTTTACCAGCTCAGTAGAAGCTCACATAAAATCTGAAAATGGTACAGTACATAGTTAATAAAGAAACCCCCCCTTTGAACTTGTGGTTGACTGGACATTGGCAAAGCACTTATGATGCTTGCATATCAGATGGGTAAAATGGTACAAAAAACAAGAAACTGAAAAGAGAAATTTATACACTCTTAAAATACTTTCCTTCTTGCTAAAGATAATGCTGAGCTAGTTCTGAGTCATTTTTTTCAAATGCTATCTGGAGTTCCTTTTTCAGTTATAGCTCACTGCTCTTTGGCCATGTGGAACCATTCAGTCCTAACTGGTCTTCTCTTGACCTCAGGTCCTAGGCCTGTGCTGTGTAACAGAAAAGTTTTCAGAAAGGTTGGACTAGTAGTTAATCTGTTCCCCATGGATCAGATCAGTCAGCTGTTCTGCTGGTTCAGGTTTGATAATGTAATCTAGGTTTCAGGCACTGAGATTGGTATCTGACTATTTGTAACTGAGCCTCTATCTTGTACCACTAAAAACTAGATCCAGGATTCATCCACAGTGAGCCAAAATCCTACCTTGGAGCCTTGCTTTGTATCCAGCTGGTGTGCTATTCTCTTTAATCATCTGTGGGTTTAAGAGGTTTATCCTAGGATTCTAGTTTTCATGAGTCTGTCCCCAGCATGTCCTGTTGTGTTTGGATTTCTACTTACTGAGTCCTGTCAGAGTTCCCTAGCATCCCATCCTATGCTTAAGCTAAATTTTCTACCAATTGTCAGTTATTTTCCCCATTCTCTACTCAACACTGGTAGGACTGTTAGGACTTAAATCCTGGTCCTCCACAGACTGATCCATCTCAATGCTGAGTTCTAATTCCAATAGTAACTCAAATAATATTTTAATAATTCTCAAACTATTTTATTTGAAAATATCTCATTCAAACCAGCTAAAGAAGATTAAAGATGCTTCATTAAATAGATCTCTGTGCTTGAAATGACATGAAAATATCCCATACCTATCTGAGTGAAGCCTGTTTTGTACCCATTAGTTGTCCCATTCTCTGGAGCCACAGTTGATGATACTGAGGAGTTAGGTTTAACAGAGTGGCAGATCGCAGAGGACTGTCGACTTCTGCATTCTAGAAAGGAGTAAAAGTACACGGTAAGAGGAAAGCAATATTCTATTTCAGTGGGTGATGAGGATTTAGTCCACAGAATCTCAGAAACAAATTTCTGCTCCTTAAATAGCAGTCACTTTCTCTGTCAGCAAGTGCTTCTCCTAGTCCTGTCTCCAATGTTTTCACAGTACTTCGTACTGACTGAGTTGGTGAATACTGTGGAAATCTCTTGGACTCTAAGTTCCAACTAAATTATACTATTATTAGCCTCAAAAGGTAGCATGTGAAATAAAAATATAAATGTTATATATGACAAAGTTAATTATAGAAAGTTCTTTAATGAGTTTCCAAGTTTATGAGCTGTATGCAAGGGCTACAGTCAGCTCTCGCGAGCACCCTATGCTATGACCTCTATAAAGAGCTGTTGTATTTTGGTGTAACATTTGACTCCATTATGCATATTGATATTATGTGGTTTTAGATATGCATATATATTACACAATTCCAGTTCCAAAGTAGGAACTGCTATAAATAGGAGGCTTCTTTTAAAAATATTATTCTCTGTCTGGCACGGTGGTTCAGAGGTAAAGGCACTTGTCATCAAGCCTGACGGCCTGGGATCCACATGGTAGAGAGCCAAAGCAGGAAGTGAGAGAGAGACCATGTCCATCTTATTTTCACTCATTAGTTGAGGTTCATGGTATGCAAAAGTATTTTCTATAGGAACATTCCTTAGACTATGTTAGGATAAAGTTATATATAATGCAGCATGCTTATGGTTCAGAGGTTGCAAGATTTAAGTCCTGATGACACTGACTTGGAAGAGGCAGTCATTTCCTAAGGAATTACATAATGTCACTTCAAATGCTATCGAGAGTAATTACGGTGAAGGGCTTGGACAAACCTGATGTTGTAATTTGGATTTATTATGCTACTTCATGGTCAGGCAAAAATCTTGTGAAAGCAACAAGTATAAATAATAAAGACAATTATTCAATGAAGATAAAAATTCTCAGCATTGAAGAAACTGCCCAATGGAGCTACTACATTAGAACAATAAATAAGACCTGTGACAATTCCTACCAAACACATGAAGATGTGACTTTTCAGTTGGATTTACTTCTACAGATAAGTTAGTTAAGGTCTTCCTAAATCAAAAGAAACCAAGCTGCCAACTCAATCATACATTTTCCCAGGCAGGTAGACAACTGCATTGCTTATTTTGAGAACTTTTTGGTAAAATAAAAAGAAAAATATAGACTGGTAAGAGTTACATACAAACTGTAATAAAGTAAAAAGACATTTTACAGCCTCAGGTTTTCACTAAATGAAGACTCAGGGGTGCATTCCCTGCCAGAGAGCTGCAGTCCTAAGAGGAGAGTCTAGAAACACACACCTTCCTACATTCAAATGTTTTAGTTGATCCTAACAAGGACCAAGTCAAATAACCAACCAGGGACTTTACTTTAGCACAACCTTCTGAACTTGAGTCACTTTATCAAGAGCACACCTGTACTCTGAACTCTGTAAGGTCACTTGTCACCATCACAGAACCTCCATCCCTCCCCCTCCTGGAATGTGACTACCTTTCCAGCAGATAAGAGGTCCCTTAGATAATACACCCTGGGAGGTTCTGACTAGGTAGTACTTTAAGTGCTTCTGCTTCTTTGGCTGGGTGGTGAGCTTCAAGTTAATGTGGTTGGAAAATTCCGTGAAATACCGAAATCCTCTTTCTCCACAGCCAATACAGTTTCCAGAAAACCCTGAAATGAGGAAAACCAATGTTACCAGTGGCCTTGTAAGTTGGTACGATACTTTTGTATATAAAAAGCATAGAAATAGTCGCATTCTATGAACCAACAATGTCTCAACTTGTAGGAAATACTTCAAAAGGAAAAAACAGGTATAAAATTTTAAGTTACTTAAAAAAAATCTTTTCCCTTCAATTTTAAAGTCTTCAGATACAATTGCAAAGAAACATTCTTTTTTAAAAGTGTATTTATTTGTTTAGCTTTTTTTTATACGTATATTTTGCCTGCATATATGTAAGTACAGCACATGCATGCAGTGCCGGTGGAGGCTGAAGAGAGCATCAGATTTCCCTGGAACTGGAGTTATGGATGGTTGTGAGTCACTAGTGGGTGTTGGGAATTGAATCCAGGTTCTCTGCAAGAGCAGTGCTTTTAACTGCTAAGCCTTCTCTCCAGTTCCGCAAAGAAACATTCTTATAAACCAGAACTATATGCTCAAAAAAATTAGAAAACTCAGGGCTGGAGAGATGAATCAGTAGTTAAGAGCACTGGTTTCTCTTCCAAAGGACCCAGGTTCAGTTCCCAGCACCTACATGCAGCTAACAACTGTCCTTAACTCCACTTTCAGGGAACCCAACACCTTCTCTGGCCTCTGAGGGCATTGTATGACATAGGTGCACTTACATAAATGCAGGCAAAACACTCATACATGTAAAATAAAAATACATTTTAAAAAAGTAGGAAACTTAAGATACAGTGCTGTTATCTAGTATGAAATTCACAGTCAAATTATAACAGTAGTAGAGTCATTTTATAACAGTGAAAGACTGGAAAGAATTTAAATGCTG